CCCTGGCAAACTTTTTCCTAAAGGGACGGGTAGTAAATATTTTAGGCTTTGCGGGTAGTGTGGTTTCTATTGCAACTACTCCACTCTGTCATTGTAGCCAGAAAGCAGCTATAGACATTATGTAAACAAATGTGTGTGACTGTGTTCCAACTGATAAAACTTTATTTATAAAAACAGGCAAGGCATAGCTTGTAGACTACGGATCTAGAATAGCTCCCCATCCATTTTTGTTTTTAGTGACACTATTTAATGACTATTTTGAACAATCAGGCCAATTTGGAAGCAGAATTTTCCCAATCAGGATTTTTAAAAATGTTTTTCTCACTAGTATTTTAAGATTACAATATACCCATGTAATCTTAAGAGTTGTTTCCACAACAGAAATGGAAATCTGGTTTTTTGAAAAAGATTCTGGTGCAGCTGAAAATAAGATCTTTCCTTTCTTTCTCTGTCAGCATCTCCCTTCTTACCTACCTCCCTTCATCCCTCTCTCTAATGATTGTTGTGTATGTAATATTACTGCCTAGATATTGGAATAAAATTAACTTCCAGATTGCTAACTCTTTGGTATTCTCCTTCAAACATCAGGGTTTTTACATATATGCTCTTTCATGTAAATGTTTTTATATTCACAGATGTGAATAAAGAATTCAAGAGGACTTGGATACTGAAAGGTAGTGAAAATAACTTAGATATAGACTTGGAAAGATATTTATATTGTAGCCAAAATAATTCCATAATGTAAAACCTAAAAATGTCTCTATGTTGGAGACGTGTTATTTAAAATGAACGATTCTTTGCCGTAAGTAAGCTCACTATTTTTAGCATTGTATAATATTCAGCTTTAGAAATAGATAACAAGTAAATTTGATAGGTTTAATGCAAAACTGTCCTTAAGAAAAAGCTGTAACCATACTTGCATCCATGCAAAAATATGTGTAATTTTTAAAGTTCTTTTTTCTTGCTTGGTTTGGTGAGTAGTAAAAGTGAAAGTAACACGTTTTACTGGAATTTAAGAGTTTCAGGAGTGTTCGTTTCCTTTAAATATCTGTCTGAACATTTGTGGTGATGGGTGCTATCCTACCTTCTTTTATTGGTTTTTTTTTTTTTTTGAGACAGAGTTTCACTCTTTTGCCTGGGCTAGAGTGAGTGCCGCGGCGTCATCCTAGATCACAGCAACCTCAAACTCCTGGGCTCAAGCAATCCTTCTGCCTCAGCCTCCCAAGTAGCTGGGACTACAGGCATGCGCCACCATGCCCGGCTAATTTTTTCTATATATTTTTAGCTGTCCAATTAATTTCTTTCTATTTTTAGTAGAGATGGGGTCTCGCTCTTGCTCAGGCTGGTTTCGAACTCCTGAGCTCAAACAATCCGCCCGCCTTGGCCTCCTAGAGTGCTAGGATTACAGGCGTGAGGCACTGCACCTGGCCTCTTTTATTGGTTTTTGACTGAGACAAAGTTTTTCTTCATATTGTGCTTTTATCAAAATTTGCTTCTGGTTTGACCCTTTATACCTTGTAAAACAAGTCTCTAGTTCTTTTTCTACATAAGTGTTTTAAATAAAGATTGAAATGATATTCTATTGGAGGTTTTCATTTCTTGACTAAATAGTCTCAGAGTCTTTAACCATTTCTCACATCACACCTCCACCATAAATAACTGGTATGATCTTGGCAAGTTACTTAATCTACTCTGCTTTTCTTATCTTTATAAAAAGGATAATGATATCTGTCTCAAAATTTATTGTGAGGATTGAGTTATTACACTTAAAATACAGCAATGTCTAACATGTAGTACACAGTCAGTGAATGTTAGGCACTACAGTTGACTCTTGAACAACACAGGGATTAGGGACGCAGATCCCGTGTAGTCTAAACTTCACATATAAATTTTGACTCCCCCAGAACTTAACTGCTAATAGCCTACTGTTGACTAGAAGCCTTGCTGATAACATAAGTAGCCAATTAGTACATACATTGTATGTTATATGTATTAAATACTGTATTCTTACAGCAAAGTAAGAGAAAAGAAAATGTTGATAAGGAAGAAAAAACGTATTTACTCTTCATTAAGTGGAAGTGGGCCATCATAAAGGTCTTCATCTCACCTTCTTGTTGAGCAGGCTGAGGACGAGGAGGAAGTAGAGGGGTTGGTTTTGTTGTCTTAGGGATGGCAGAGATGGAAGAAAGTCTGTGTAGAAGTGGACCCACGCAGTTTAATCGCGTGTTGTTTGAGGGTCAACTGTATTGTTACTTCTTACTGCATTATTTCTCATCCGTCTTGTCTGTACATGAACCTGTTTGTCTTTTTCAAAGCACAACTGAATGCAGTGGCAGGTGTGATCTGACTAGCCCAGAGGAATATAATAGTCACCTCCCCAGTTCATTTGGACCAAAATTGGGGTTTTGTTGTTTTTAAAAAATTCATTGTGCAAAATTTGAAACATATAAAAGTAGACAGACTTGTGTGATGGACCCTCATATACCCACCTTCTATCCCCAATAACATGGCCAATCCTATCCCGTTCACACTCCATCTAGCTCCTTTTTTTATGCCCTGGTATATTGTTCCTCTGTTACACCTAAGCTCCATGACTGATTTATCTTGATAATTACTCAAGATTTTAGGATAATGCCTGTTTTCTTAATAAGTAATTATTGAATTAATGAATAAATGAATCTTGCCTTGGATTCATGCCTGGATCGGCTTTCTGTAGTTTGCTTTTGAAGATGGAGTGGGTGGGTGGGTGAAATAGAAAATAGATTTGTTGATATCATAATGTTTTTTTTTTTAATGATTCCTTTCATATCTGCACAGGGATATATATGATAATCTTACTGGTAAAATCTTTGAGTACTCTAGAAAATAATTCAATGTATCTGGGATAGAAGACTTGAATTCACTATTTTCTTACAGTGTTTTCATTATTCTGAGCTTTAAGACTTTAGCAGTGTTTAGGCTTTCCAATCTAATAATGGTTTTGTCTTAAATAAAAAGCAAAATTGGAGTTGAAGAATTATATTTCCTTTGTCCCTTTATTGAAATTATTTTTTAAAGCCAGATTTATTATGGAATAATTTACATACAGTAAAATTGTTAGTGATTTACTGGCCTCAAATAGAGGCCTTTCTTCTCAGTGTCAGTTTGCTCCAAGCATAACAAAGGACAGTTGCCTTTGTGACTGTAGCACTTTTAAGCCTCAGCTCAATTTTTCATAATCGTGTTCTTACTTACACCTTGTTTTTATTATGCCTACAGCAGTTTGCTGAAAGTTTAATAGACTCACAGTTGTTTTTCAAGTGAAACTGAAGTGTGTAACTCCTGCCTAAAACAGGGATAGAGACACCATGGCAATTCTTTATTTGTATTTAGATAGTGGGGTTGGAATTCTGGAGGTGAAGTATAACAGTTAAGAGTATTGTAGAGAGAATAGCTTCTAGCACTCAGCTCACTACTGTCACCCTGAGATTGAGCCTAGGTGAGCCTGCCTAGTAGAAGCAGCCAGCTGAGGCAGGGTTTGTATACTCCATACACCTCAAATTAAAAGGAGGCTTAGTGAAAGTAAGTTTAGACTTAATCTCTGTAATTAGCCGGGAGTGCCTTTGTACAACTCTAGCTTTTGCACTCAGTACTAATGTTTAAGCGAAGTAACTTTAGCTTGAGAGGAGTCTCACCCTTCAGTATTAGCAGTTTTACCTTAATTATTAAACATGTTATCAGGAATTAATTAACAAGAACTTGAGAACAAGAATGAGATGTTTTAGACAGGAGACTGAGAAAGTGTTCTGATAGAAAACATCATGTAGCAATTACACCATGGCTGTGAACCTCAAAATTGCTTTTGTTTTACCTTCGATATTTCTGCTAGTTTGCTGACTTCTTAACTTAAAAGATTCAGTGTACTTTTTGGTTCAACAGAACATCTGTCCATTTATTCATTCAGAAAATACTTATTGAGCATCTAAATGCTGGGAAGTGTGTTGCATACTGGCTAAACAAAACAGTGAACAAAACAAATGTGCTTGCGATTATGCAGTTTTATAGTCTAGTGGGAAACAATGAAATTTATTAGAAGCCATAAAGAAAAATTGTGCTTCACTAATATTTTAAAGACTTAACTGCTTATTTTAAAGTGAACTTGGAGTGACTTTTTCTTGATTGTTTTTGAAAAATGTATTTGAGCATTCAGAGCTTTTGGGTTAACATGTTTCTCTGTGTATTGATATGTGAAATTAGACATTAGAAAGATAAGGGAATTTAAAAAGAGAGAGAGAATATTAATTAGAATATATGAACTGTAGTGAGATTTCAGGATAATGACAAGTAGTAGATTTGTGTGGGTAAACTGTATGTTAGGTATGCTAAATGGACTCTTATAGACATGAAAGTAAAAATGTCTTTATGGTCTTCCTTCTATGAATGCTCAGTACTTAAGAATTCAACATTGGTCTTTATGCTGAGGAAAAGGAAAAAAATAATAGATTTGTTGATGGAAAAGTAAATCTCTAAAATGGGGAGTGGGGTATAATAGAAAGCAAATGAAAACCGTGAGGCCTAAGATCATGTTGGAATTATGTGATAGTGTCCTGTGACTCTGGGCGAAAAAAGATCTCGTATTCCTTATTCTAGCAGAGTGGCTGAATTTGGTAATGCCTCCTGTTGTTATGATTTTATGATTTTAATTATTTTTATTTAGCAGTTTCTTAATGACTTAGTTAGAAAGTCAAGATGCTCTCTTATTTTCAGTACTTATTTAGGCTCAAGAATTTAAAACTTAAGATGGGGGAAGAAGGCTTTGCTTTCTCTAACTGATATTTTCTGACTAGGTACTTCGTAACTCAGGAAGACCTCATTTATTCCCAGTAATATGTATTACTAAACTCTTTCAGGTAACTTTTAAAAGACTGTGTGACTTCATAGTAGATCATGGCTTGAACTCAGTTTTTATTTATTGTTGTTACTAGAAAATTTTAGTGAGATATTTTTCTTTGTGTCTGTAGTTATCAGAGACTGTTACAGACGATTGCTGTTCTTGAGGCTCAGCGTTCTCAAGCAGTCCAAGACCTGGAAAGTTTAGGCAGACACCAGAGAGAAGCACTGAAAAATCCCATTGGATTTGTGGAAAAACTCCAGAAGAAGGTATATACTGAGCACTTTTTAAAGATTTACTAAGATGTATTTGGTAATAACTTCAGAGAATTTGGTTTATTCTTTTTATTAATACATGGTATTTACTTTTTAAAATGTTTAATTTTTTCTTCTATAATTAACCGTACTACTTAAGGCAGGGTACCACTTTGTTTTACTCACACCAAGCACTGTAAAATATACCAAATGAAAATTGCTGGGATCTTTTATTAGATACTTGCACAGGAACTTGTCCTATTCTTTAGACATTTTTTCCTAGCTTTTCCTGTTACCTTCCCCATCTTATTTTTCCTCTTCTGCTTTTTAGGACTTCAGGATTAGTAAAGGTAAAAGAAAAAAATACTTCAGCATTTATTAACTACTTTTGTTTTGAGTTCCTTTTTTTGCATATCAACATATTGAGATAGAAAACAATGGTAGCAAAAACAAACAAAAAAATTACTTTATTTTTTTTTGTTTGTTTGAGACAGAGTCTTGCTCTGTTGCCCAGAGTGAAGTGCAGTGGCATGATCACAGTTCACTGTAACCTCTAATGCTCAGGCTCCCAAGTAGCTAGGACTACAGGCACATGCTACCATCCCGACTAATTTTTTAAAAAATTTTCTGTAGAGATGGCATTTCACTAATGTTACCCATTCTGGTCTTGAACTCCTGGCCTCAAGTGGCTCTCTGTACTCCACCTCCCAAAGTACTGGCTACTGTGCCTGGCCAAAAATTCTGTTCTAAGGTTATACTAGCCAAGTCCATGAGGAAGAAGTATAAATTTTACTTAATCTTGAAATGTGTTTTTTTAAGGTGTGAAAATTCCTCATAATTTTGTTTTTTTTAAACTGTTAACTTACATGTTTAACAGTTAACCATTTAAAAGTGATAAAAGTTTTCATAATAATTTTCTTGGCATGTAAATATGGAGATAATCTAGATGTGTGTTTGTACTATAATAGGGAACTACTAATTGCCCAATAAATTTGAGAGGCGTAACTTAATCAGCATTGTATGAAAAGATTAAAACAAAAACTATGGAAAAGAACCCTTTTCTTTGGGAAGAAAACTTGTGTAATATGACAATTTTAGTATCTTTATGAGTTACCTGTTTTTAGTGAGTTACAAAAGTCATCTACCACGTGTTGGGGGAGCAGCCCTGGGGACTTTATTTTATTAGATAGATTAATTTATTATTTGAGTTTTTCTAGCTATATTATTTACCTGACAACCATTCCTTACTGTCCATGCTTTCAGAAAACACTGAATATCATATTAGATGTAGAATCTGTATATTGATTTGTTAAACTATGAAGGTTTTTAGAGCCCTGTTGTACCTTCTCTGTTAAAATGTGGTCCCCTTAAGTATTTATAGATTCTTCATTGCTGGTGTGAAAAAGATGTAGTACTTATAATGGTTATTTGTAATGGATCCAACTAAAACAGATGATATTAGAAAAGTAAATATTAATAAAAAAGGTATTAACCTGAATCTGATTTCATTTATATTTCTGGGTAGGCAAAAACATGAAGTTGGCATATACACTAGATTTGTATACATTTGATTATTTGCTGGTTCTTCATTTCCATTTTTAGTTTAGAACTGAATTTTTTTCCATTTTATTTCAGAAACAGGTGTGATATTGACCGTCTTAAGAATTTTTTACAAAAATATACAGAAGTATATTAAATTCAGATATTTTAGTAACTATGGAAGACATGTTCTTTGGAAAGAAATTTTTCTACTAGGTTTAATTTTGAAATTTGATTCTTCTGTTTTTCTGCGTTTACTCACACATACTTAATTTGCCTGTTTTCTGACTTACTGTATCAGTTAAGTTGTTGGCATGTTATCTGTTGTTTTTTTTTTTAGTGGACATCTAAAATTCCCAGTTGAAATGAATGAAGCTTGTCGTATATATTGGTATATAGAATGCAGGGAACATGGCTGCTTAGTTTTATTTGATATTACTATCATTATATTTTAAAAGATACCATCTTCTGTCTAAAAGTAGTATGTAGGTTTTGCCAAATTCATTTCTTCTTTACTTATTATCATCTTGAGCATTTAGACTGTGTTATCTTAATTGACTTTATTGTCTGTTGGATCTAAACAGTGAATAGAAATGCCTAGTTGATGATTATTTGGATTTGGAGTCATCTGAAAATTTGACTATAGTTGATTATTTCTTTAAGTTTAGACTGTTACTTTGTTTCTGTTTTTTTTTTTTTTTTTTTTTTTTTTTCCAGGCTGATATAGGGCTTCCTTATCCACAGAGAGTTGTTCAATTACCTGAGATTGTATGGGACCAGTATACCCATAGCCTTGGGAACTTTGAAAGAGAATTTAAAAATCGTAAAAGACATACTAGGAGAGTTAAGCTAGTTTTTGATAAAGGTAAGAAACTACATGATAAGAATTTAAGTAGAGAAATATCTGACAATGTCTTGCTGTAATAATTCTGTACATGGTCTTGTGTTTAGTAGGTTTACCTGCTAGACCAAAAAGTCCTTCAGATCCTAAGAAGGATGGAGAGTCCCTTTCATATTCTATGTTGCCTTTGAGTGATGGTCCAGAAGGCTCAAACAGTCGTCCTCAGGTAAACAATATGAAATATTGGAGTAGGGAAATTTAAATTGTAAAATGTAAATTTACAATGTAAATTGTAAAATTATAAATTAAAAAAATTTAAATTTAAAATGTTTTTACATTTTGCTGGTTCATGTTCTTAAAATTAATGCAGTCTTTTACTGTAAGATATTGAGGACATAAACTTTGAAGTTAAGAGAAACCTGGGTTGGAATCCCAACTTACTAGCTGTGGAACTCTAGACTGGTTTATGTTAAAGTCTTCAAGCTGCAGTTGCCTTTTATATAAAATGTAATTAATATTATCTATGCTGTAGAGTTGTTGTGAGGATTGAATGGGTAGTACATGTAATGTGCCCAGTACAGTGTCTGACATATAGTATTACTCTAAAAATAACTCTGTGTGTGTAGTGGGATGTGACCAGGATTTGAGTCCTGATCTTGCACTATTAGTTAGATGAACCTCAAAAGATGTGTTATTTTTCCATTCTGAACCTACATTTCCTTTTTTAAAAGTGAAGTCACAGTACTATCATCTATATCACAGGATTGCTAGCAATATAAAACCGAATGAAATAAAAGAATGTGATAGCATTTTGTAAACAGTAAAAAAATTATACATTAAATAATAAATTTAGTAAATATTTTCAAATTCAGAAAAAAATTCCACAATTTGTGTACTATTTGGCTATATTAAAGGGCAATCTTTGTTATTTTCTCTTTGACAAAAGTCTTGTTTTATATGCAGATGATAAGGGGACGCCTATGTGATGATACCAAACCCGAAACATTTAACCAACTGTGGACTGTTGAAGAACAGGTAATAGATATTTATAAGTTGTGTAGGTTAAAAAAAAAAAGTAAACTGTTAACATTAGAATCAGTATTATGAGTGGAGCGTATGTTGTATGTGATCCCTCTTACCCGTGGGTTTAAAATATTTAGACTTATTTTTGTACACCTTTTTGTATACTTCAAGAAATTTAGATTTTCAGAATATTATGAACTCCTGTTTGGGGATAATTTTTAAAGAAGGAACCTGGGTTTTGAGAGAGGGATAGAAATGGATGGTATAAAGTAGATGTTTTTCTAAGGTAGCTTTGGGAGAGAGAAAAACCTGAGGCCAATAAAGCTGAGCCTCAAAGTGCATTCTTATTTTTGTTGTGGAGGGGAGCTAAGGAAGCCAGATCAGAGTGTTCTGTTGCATTTTGGCATACAGCTAAGATTGTTTTTTGGTATATGACTAGGATTTTTGGGGGTGAAGTTTGAGACATAGCTCTGTCTCATGTGGGTATTAACCCCACAGCTATAATAAATTTAGCAGTTTATGAAACACTTTAGGAAACCTTTATTTATTTCAGGCATCCAGGTTTTTCTGCACCTTTAGGACTATGGGAGGATTTAGGAGATAGGAGATAGAGCAGAATATTAAAATCAAATATTTGAATGGAGGACCACACAAAAGAAGGAAAACTCTCTTTTATTAGTCTGAATTCAAATGAATTTACACATGTTTTTGTGAAAACTAGGGGAAAGCCTGACATATTCTAGCAAGAGGAGATAGTGGAAATCACAAAGATGTGTCAAATACCAATTTACTTATTTATTTTCTGTTTTCTTGTACTATCTTTTTACTTAAGTGAATAGAAACTCTTTATAAGGCCTTTTATAGGTTTATCCTTTAATCTCATTTTTCCCTGGGAAGTCTTAGGGTTCCTAACTAGAAATTTTTCCTTGATGAGTATTTCTAGTAATGTAACTTTCAAAGTTGGGAAGGGAGTGTTATACTTTGCAATGAAATGTGAATGTATTTATTTAGAAATTCAGTATTTTTAATTGAATATTTATTTTCTTAAACTTGGTCTTGGGTTTGGCTTAGAAAAAGCTTGAACAGCTACTCCTGAAATACCCTCCTGAAGAAGTAGAATCTCGACGCTGGCAGAAGATAGCAGATGAACTGGGCAACAGGACAGCAAAACAGGTAAGTGAGGAGATGGCTGCAGGTTGCTGGCATGTTTTTAAAGGAAGGATAATGTAGCTAACATCAGCAACCTGCCATATCATTTTCAGCTGGGATGCTGTAGTATGTATGTGGCTTTTTTTTTTTAATTTGTTAATTGTATATATCTTTGTTGATTTCAGAAACAACTTGATAATTCTGCTTTGGATTATGACAAAATATTTAAAAATAAAATAATGAACTTAGTGTCTCTTGAATGCTTAATTAGTATACTAATTATGTACTTTTTGGTTAGACTGTGCTAATAGATTTGTTACATTGCCTTACTATTCCTTGGTTGTCTTTCTAAAAATACATCTTGCAGTTTCCTCCTTCACAGTCCTATCTATATTAATAGATGTGTTTTTGTGCTGCAAGTATGAGTGTTCACAAGTTGAAATATGTGCTTAGCTTTGAATTAAATTTATTTGAATGATTTTTTTTGGTCTAGATTTTAAAATGTGGGTGTATTTGGTAGCAAACTTATTTCTAGATTTATGATGAAATTTAAATTGTTAGCATTCATTAGATACACATGTACATACTAATTTTTAAAAACTACTCAGGTATTACATGTCATCTCATTATGTTAAAAGGTTTGTCATGTGTTCCTTAGGTTGCCAGCCGAGTACAGAAATATTTCATAAAGCTAACGAAAGCTGGCATTCCAGTCCCAGGCAGAACACCAAACTTATATATATACTCCAAAAAGGTAAAAAGAAAATAGATGAAAGTAAACCTTAGATTAAATTCGTGAAAGTCAGAATATCATGTAAAAATGTACATACTTGTCAGAATAGTGTTTTATTTTTAAAATTCTGTTCATTCTAAGCATTTTCTTATAGTGGGTGTAAATGCAGGATAGGATTCCATTATTGCTGCTCAGTGAAATTCTGTGAGCTTTATGAGTCTACTTTCTTGGGAATAATGTGAATGAGTGCTACTTAAGAGATTTTAGATTGAATATATGTCAGAAAGGCCTTTGTAAGGTTAAAGTTTTAGGATGTTTAATTCTTTAATAAATACAGTCTATTTCTGTTTTGTAGATATGCTACGTAAATCCACAAATAGAAAGGTTTATTAAGATATTTTAAAGCCAGGCACAGTGGTGCACACCTGTAGTCCCAGCTGCTACTCAGGAGGCTGAGGCAGGAGCCCAGGAGTTTGAGTCTACCTTGGGCAACACCTGAGATCCTGTCTTTTTTTTAAAAAAAAGAAAGATATTTTATTTAATCCTTACTCCAATTCTTGAAGTATAAGTAGTATCACCTTTACCGATAATACTATATTAATAGCTGTCTTGGTATTGAGTACTCAGGGCCAGGGACTGCTATTATATAACCTTTTATTAGATACGGAAAACTATATTCTCTTCTGCTTTCTACAGTGAAAAAGCTACTATCTCTTTTCTATACAGAACACTGCATTAAATTGTAGCCAGTTTCTTATTGTAATTGCAAAAAGTAAAGGCACCTAATTGGCGTTTTTTCATTTCCTTAATAAATCATCCTGGTACTTCCCCTCCCCCACCACTGCCATCCTTCCCCTAAAGAGAAGCTAATAGTATATCTGTTGGTGTTACCCTTTCTTACTGAAGCTGTTTTATATAATTTTACATTAACAACATTGCCCACGCACCTCCACGTTTTACAAGTTTTAAAACTTTTTTTTTTAACCAAGCTTTAGAAGCTTGTTTTAATTTGCCAGTTGTTTTAAATATTTTAGATCCCCCTCAGCTCCTGCCTCATGTAGCATTACCTACGTTAGATATGTAGAGTTCATCCTGTAACTTTGGAATGTTGAAACCTTGATAACCAATGTTCAATCTAAGAGCTCCAATTTTCATGATTAATTTCTAAGCTGACTTTGTAGGTGTGTTGTGTACCTTACGTTTTCACAGCTGAGACCGGATGATGATAGGAAAAGGAATACTGGTGAAACCTAAATGTGTTCCTTCCTTTGGGTGTACTGCATTTTGGCTATGAAGATCTAGTATAGCTATAGTCGCAATGATTCCTTGCCATGGTTAGAGTTTAAAGTTTGGAATAGGTTAAATGATAGTTCTCTGTGGATATTCTTTGTGGCTGTGCTATTAATCAAGATAGGACATCTGCATAGTGGTTGAAGTAAACGCTTTGGTGTACCACACAGGCCTAGTTTATAAGCCTGGTTCTACCACCATCTAATTGCAACACAATGACCCTGTGCCTCAGTTCTTTACATTAGAGATGATATGAACCACTACATAGGAATGTTGTGAGGTTAAATGACATTGGGATAGAGTGAGCAGTCATTTTTAGATAATTATTTTCAGATATTTATAACATTATGAAAATTTTCCTCTTCCTGGATAGTTTTATGTCTGGCTTAGACCATGTAATCCTCCTCTCTGATCATCTATAAGGTGACCATAAGAGGAGTTCAATGCAGCCAACATTTGAATACCAGGAGTATGATGAAGATAAAAATATAAGCTAGATATTGAGCATGTGGTCCATTGTCCTGTTGGAGTATTTCCCCTACATTTCTTTTTTTCTTTCTTTCTTTTTTTTTTTTTTTTT